TATTTCTATTTACTATCAATAAATATACAGGAGCACGACGCAATCTTTCAATACTTAAAGCACATACACCTAGCATAATTAAAACACTGCCATACACGACATTCACTCATTTAAATTAGTAATACTATACTGTAAGGAGGCGGGATAGCTCAGTCGGTATAGCGACTGACTACAGGCTGGACGACCGAGGATTCGGGTTCGAGTCACGGTAGGTTCAAGAATTTTCTCTTCTCCACGTCGTCCAGACCGGCTCTGGGGCCCACCCAGCCTCCTATCCAGTGGGTACCAGAGGCTCTTTCACCGGCAGGGGCGTGAAGCTGACCACTCACTTCCAACTAGTGCTGAGGTCAAGAAAATGTGGATCTGTACGTCCATTCCCCCATACGTCTTCATGGCGTAGTGCTTAATTAAGCACAGGGTCAACTTTATCTTACTGTACTGTATCGCCTACGAATTTCAAGCTCTGACAACGAAAACCCGGTAGATATCCACGTTCGAAATTGTGAAAATTCCCAAGCATGATAACTTTTGGCTCGCAGTAAGCGGGAAAATGTGTCGTCCCTGTTCTGCGCGGTTTGTTAAGCCTTCTATGCGCGTAACTGCTTCTCGTGGAATAGTAATTATTCGGTCGTCGTACTGTGAAGAACGCGACATCCAAATTGGTACGGAAATAAAAATTCCTCTTCGATTATTCCTACGAATCACTCTGACATCATAGCACCAGACGCTGTGAACTATCGCCCAGAATAACTTCAACTGATACAAGAAATAATCCAGATATGGTCTTCCGGGTAGCTGCGGCACCGTGTACGTTAGGTGGCGCATACAAATGTTTCGCAGGAACCTGAATACTGAGAGACAGGGATCCTCTGAAACTCTGTTGTACACTCCCGAGATCACATGGTGTCATAACAGCCTGAATATTTACATGTTATGTTTCAGATGAACTTGTAAACAAATGCAATCCTATGGGTTTTGATTGCACTGCTCAATATGAACAGACTGCTACAACTTTCCTTAAGCAGTTAACCTTGATGTGGAACCGGGAATGCTCTGATTACTGCTTATATCAGTTTCAATACCAGGAAGGGGGGAAAAAAATAGGAAGCGGAAATGACGCACCTGCTCGTGTCGAAGACTCGAGTTCCTCTCTGGGTATTTGTTAAGTCACACGAACTTAAGCAAGCAGTTACGTTTACAGTGGACTTTAAAAAAAATGTGTCACAGATTCTTTAAGCTCATTTTCCCCCCGATTTCAAACGCATCTTCCTCGATGAGAAGTGGCTTTGTAACGGTTGATAAACGTCGGTTACTTTCAGGCACTAATAAAATTGTTAAATGAAGGTTTTCTAAGTCGTTTGTACATGATGTCGGTACACCTCAAATAGGCGTAATGCAATGACTTACCGTCTATATCGCACATTTTCGCTGAAGACTGAAACCCCCCACTTGGCTCTGTGGTTCCAGTCACGGATCTCTGCATTTGTATGCAAACAGACGAAAGACGAAAAAAAACGACTAAAATCTCAGCTTAAAGGGCCAATCAGGACAAGATATGAGAAAGTAAAACAATAATATGCATAAAAAGTAGCACAGTTTTGTGTAAACTGGATCTTTATGGCTATATACCTAATTACTTTGATGTTCACCAAGAGATTGAGAACAGAGCTTTAATGTCCCGTACGCAGTTATTTAAATCAAAGGTTTCTCAGAGTTAAAAATCCTTACATTGCGAGATTTAACAGATTATTATTTCTCTGGGAAGAATATGGGATCACAATTTGGGGAAGAGGTTTTTCATTAGTACCAGCAATTTCACTTCCACCAGTGTATGCACCCCTACAGCATCACACTACAGCAGAGAGGGTAGTTCTCAGTTACGTTCACTGCATCAACTTCATATTTCATAGAGTTCCTGACTTAAGCAGAAAATCGTAGGTACTTATGGACGTGAACCTCTCTCTACCTGTATGCTACGTAAATTGAGCGGTAACCGTAAGTCTTTTTGTTCAAACCCTGGGAAACAGTGGGGCTAACATGCAAAACGCTGTCCAAAAATGTAGTCGGAAGTTCCATGAAACATTACAGGTCATTTAAGAAGTTACAGAAGGGCACACCATCCCTTTTGTCTGTGCACCACCTCCTGGCTCTGCGGACACTACAAGTATCCGTTGAAGCACTAGGTCCGCCTTGAACTAGCAATCTTCCTCGCTTTCGGTTTAACATTTCTAGCGAGCCTCACGACAAGTAACATTTAGTAGCATTTTATGAGCCTCACGACAAGTCGATAATCACAAATTATTGACCGCTTTGCTTCGTCCGGCAACTTCCCTTTCCTCCTGTCTTTCATCAGAAGAAAAACAACTCCTGGATACAAGCTACGTATGTTTCTTTTCGTCCCATGGGCTACTCTCAACATATAATGTGATCGCGCTCCCGTGGCATTGCTTAACGCAGGACGCAAGCTGCCTCATTTGCCTCTAAGTACAAAATGAAAACTACGATATTAAGTTTACATAATAACAATTATAACACGTGTCATCATTCGTTTTATGGGCCCACGTTTAGGGCTAGTACCGTGTATTGGCTTTTAGCTTAGATATGTTAAAACACTAAAACTTTAGAAGCAATCTCATTGTCTGTGTATAGACCAGACTCCTGTTGTGTTTCGCCGGGTCAGAACAAGAAACAGGATCTGTGCGGCTCTCAATAAGTTTCAACGTGGCATTACCCGACAGCTCTCTACGCCAGAGAGTGGTCGCACGGTACCTCCAGCTCCTCAGTACAGCCGCTGTACTGCAAATCCGGGCTACACGCTGGGGGTACATTCCCGCGAATTATTTAAGCAGTGTGCCGGAAGAGGCCCGGCCAGATTCAGTAGGAGACTGCTGACGGAAACAGACTCAGTCACTTTCTACCCAGCTCACGGTATTTATTTATTACTTTGCAATACTGACCGCCACCAACTTAGCTCATGTAAATTGTCTTAAGGCAGTTTCTCGCTTCTTTTGTTTGAAACTACGTTAAGTGGCGTTTCACGCCAGCAAAAATTATTAATCAGTGGTTGAACGGCGGTTAGCAGAATTAGAATTTCATACTTAGAACCATAACCAAACTTAGTAGCTGACACTCATTATGAAACATAAGTCTACTTCGTTAGTTTAGGCCTGTGTGCGCGCAGTTTGTGAAGTCTCTTACACGAAACATAGCAAGTGACGGTAAACGGAGAGTGAATTCGACATTCCTACAAAATTACACTAACGCTCATATTAAAATTATTAAACAGTGCAACTGAATTCTTAATACTCAAGCGTAAAAATTTCTGTCGCCCAATAGTCACATTATTCTTAACGCCATTATCATTTCCGCATTGAATTTACATTTAAATTAGAGGGCATAGCCAGAACTTTGCTTACTAAGACCAGACACACCGATAAACCACCTAAGACGAACTGTAACATTCATCACATCTGTGGAAACGCTTTCTGTGTAGTGCAACGTCCGGAGCGACCTACACTTCACAACCCTGCGCAGCGTCCGTCGCGGTTGGTTGGTTAAAAACTCATTCTGCATAAGACAGTGGTCTTGGGACCTATAATCTCTGCCTGGATAAGCCACGACATTTTACGATTTTCGTTACCATTGCATGTTACGTAGTTTAAAAGCGCCGTTAAGTAGTCTAGTACATAACGAATTAATCAATCATACTCTTTAAAAGTACAGCACTTCAAACACGTTACACCACGCCCCCTAACAACCATTTAGATCTGATGTACGGGAAGTATTTCCTGGACCGTTCACGGGTAAACAGGCTAAAAGTTCTAATCGCAATGTTGCATTAACAGCTGGATGATGGGTATGTTCATGTCAACTGCACAACACTTCACAATTTCTCAGAAATATCACCTGTGCTGTGAACCACGTCCTATCGTAGTGTAAAAGCTGTTCACATCTGGTCCGACATTCCAGCGCGCATACACGAGTAACGCAGGATAAACTGCCAATTTTATGAGCTATCCAGCATTTCTAAACGTTACTTTCGCAACGGTCGACAGAAGCAATCTACATGTCACAAGACTTGATATTAACTTGTTGGGGAGAGATTTTGAGAGACTTGAATCAATTACACAGCGAACTATATCTGAAATAGCAAAAATACATACCTGAAATAACCGGAAGTTATTTGTTAAAGTACGAAAAAGAAGTCTGCAAATACAGATTTTAAACATGAGACGAACACTTCCGAATATCGATAACTTCAGAATGTATGCACAATGACAATGCCAATAAAGCCTGACAATAAATACACTGTAATCTGGCACAGTTCACGAATACACGAATTATTCTAAATTGTATACTTACCAACTATGCTTATTGCCCAATGAACAGCAACGGAAAAGAAACTGTTCTATGTGCTTACGGACCTAAATACGGTTACTGTAGTTTAAAAATATTCGAATATAAGCCTTACTGCTGTCTTACGTCAAACTATAAAACGTACTTTTTAGACTCTTTACCCAATTTGTCTTGACTTTACATCGTAAGCAAATTCGTGCCTGAATTAAGAGTTCATCTCTTTAAATCACTGTGATAACATTGGTAACGGCCCAGACACATTTACCGATCTGCTTGTAAGTCTGAGTATAGAGACGCGTCAGCTGAACGGGTTGTTAGTGTAAGTTAGTCTTCCGGCATTAAGAACATATGGACGACAGAAACCTGTTCTGCCTGCATATTCATCACATTTCAGTGCGTGGGATTTGTCCCCACGGCAAAAAGTACATGCATTCTGAGAGCAACAGGGTTCAAGAAAAACATTCGGACACGTCCACAAACCCATATATTTTGGTTTCGCTGACCTCATCGATAAACCTATATCCATGCCGATATTACACGCATCACGCACAAAAAATTCTGTAAAACTCGTAGAATTACGTGTTATAGGCCTACAGTACACCACTTAAGCCCTCAAGAGATCCGAGTATGACTGGTTGACTCACCTTCACACGTGAACTGCCCGTAGTGCTTTCCGCTGGATTTGTCACCACACACGACACATTCGATATTCTGGTTCTTGTCAGCACCCTGTGACGACCCCCCAGACTGGGTGCTGGCTGCCTGCGAGCCAGGGGTAGTGCTCTGCTGGAGGTCCCTACCTCCCAGCCCGGCCGTACCACCGCCGCCGCCCCCGCCCGGGTTTGTGAGCCCGGTAATGTCCTCTGCCGCCGTGGGTGTGCCGGGTCCTGCGCCCGGACCCAGTCCCGGGTGGCCAACATGGCCCAGCACCACGGCGCTGCCGGCGCTCGGGTCCCGCCAGGCGGACGGCGGGGGCGCCACCAGCGCCATGCTGCGCGGGAACCCGAGCTCCAACGTGGTGACGTCGGGGGCCTGACCGCGCGACCCGAAGAACCCCGTCGTCGTCGGACACAGCACCCCGGTACACACGGCGAGGGCGTTGTGAGGAATAATACTGGTAACTGTTCCGGCGGATGCTGACCGCCTTTACCGCAATTCTTTAGTAGTGCTCTTCCTTCCCAATCCTCTTTGTAGTGTTTACGTTTCTTCACTTGCTTACTCTTTACGATGACCTAAGGCAAGAGACGTGACAGCTATCTCTTCACAAAGTCCTGACCTCAAACGACACCAAGAGGTCAACACTGCACAGTCAAGAGTCACACACAAGCACTCGCACACGCTCGAGTCAGACGGGCGCGTTCAGTAACATGACTACTCACGGAGTGTGCACTGTCCGCTACAGCGACCTGGCGAGGCGAAGAGGCCAACCGAAGACAGCAGCAGTTACAGCACAGCTCAGCCTCAGCCGGTTCGAAACCAACTGCTTTCTGCTGGGCCTGTTTGAACCCTGACACCCGGCCCCTGCGACCCCTCCTCCCCCCTTTGGCTCTAACCGCGATCTGTTTCCGACCAGCCAGCCAGAGCTGCACTGTTACCATAGCAACCGGCTGCCATGCATGGGCGGCTGGCTCTTTGAGGGGAAGGGGGAAGCGCAGCCCTGGCAAGACTTCGGGCTCGCCCCCGACCAAGAGGCCACGGCTCCCGCGTGCTCTGATTGGCCCGAACTCACATCCGTTATCCTCCACTAGAATTTGTCTCGCCGTCTTCACAGGAGTTTTAATTTCGCGAAACAGTGGTGCAACATGTAGAGAGCGGTTAGGCATCTCCGTAGAGACGCCGCAGCCCTGCCTCCGAATGCTGCAGATGGCCAGCTTGTGGGTACTGTCTTCGTCAGGAGACAAATATGCGAATTATACACCTTGCGAATGTTGCGACGTCAGACTGCCAGGGGGGGGGGAGATGAGGCAGAACTGACACTTCTGTGGCCCCTTTCAGGGCGCATGCCAAAAGGTCACCACCCCTCCTTCACCACCACCTACCTTACAACCCCATGCATGATACTCTCCACCCACATATTGTGGGGGCGGGGCACCAATCAGAACTTGTAGAACGCGTAAGTGAGGTGCTAAAAATGGGCAGGGCCATAGAGAGCGTCGGTCTTTTGATAAGCTGCGTCGTCGGTAGCGTCGTGGCGAGGTCGGGAGGGTCGCCTCACTCAGTAGCGAGGAGCTGACCGCCAGAGGTGAGGAACGTGGCCGGTGCGCCACCTCGTGACCCTAAGCGCTAATAAAATACATGGACCGGGGCCAGCAGTGGCGTGCGTTCGCTACCGAATCGCCCGGAAGGCATACTGCAGGCGCTTAACTGCGTTTATTTCTGTTATTAAATATTGTCATTGGGCAGATTGAACGCCAGCCCTACAAGAATAGAATTTTTGCATGTTCTTATGGGCATTGATTGCATGATATATTGTTACATAGTGGAGAAACTGAATCACTTCTTATTATATATTCCATTTGTTGAACTGATCGGTAATCGATGCTTGGACGACAAGAAATTTGTTGAAGGAAAGATTCGAACATTCGTGGTTATGAAGAAAGCAGTCTTCTGGGATTTGGCACCGTGTATATGTGGTGTTAACCGACGTTTCGGAGAACGTATCGCCTCATCTTGAGGGTAGAAGAAGTCCGCAGGCGAAGAGACCGTGGGAACCGGTACAAGCAGACTGCGGATATCTTATATTTTTCCTTTCACCCTGAAGATGGAGGCGATACGTTCCTCTGAAACGTCGGTTAACACCACATATACACGGTGCCAAATCCCAGAAGACTGCTTTCTTCATAGTCACCGCCGTGAAAACCTCAAATCCTACATGCGTGGTTATGTTTCTGTTGTCCCTGTGCTTACCTAATTAAGCATAACGCCATGAAGGCGTATAGGGATGTAGATGTATAGATCCATACGTTCTTGACCTCTTTACTAGTTGGAGGTGAGTGCTCAGCTTCACGCCCATGCCGCTTTACCCCTCGAGAAATAGCCCCCGGTACCCATTGGAAGGGAGGTTGGATGGACCCCAGAGCCGGTCTGGACTACTTGGAGAAGAGAAAATTCTTGACCATACCGGGACTCGAACTCCGACCCCTCAGTCGTCTAGCCCGTAGTCAACCGCTATACCGACTGCGCTATCCCGGCTCCGTGCAATACATACATAAAACTACATATCAGGCTATATTTGGCCTGCTTCAAACGCACAAAGAATTTCGCAACCGATGTTTGGCTATGCCTACTCCTAAGTATGATGCACATGGAAACTGAATCTTAAGTACGCGCATGCGTACCTAGGATTGAGCATAAAAGTCACAGTATATATGATCATAGCTTAGAGCCCGTTACTGTAGGAAGTCTTTAACAAATCAGATTAATGTCTCTGTACTGGTATAGGCGTGTGATTTAAGTTGCCAGGAAAACATGTCTTACCGCCACACGTTGGAGGGATTGCGTTTAGCGTGTTGTGGTGTCAACTTCCTTGCTTAGGGTAGGGCTGGGCTGAACACTGCGTCTATCATACGAGAGACAAATTAACGCGGTTAATTACCAAAGTGCCGTCCGGCATAGGAGCCTTACTGCAGTAAAAACTTTTTAGCTAGCAGGAAGAGGGTGCGGAGTGGTGAGATATAAATTAGGGCTATTTTCCTGTGCCATTGCTCTTTATTGTCTTACAAGTTAATAGGCCAAAATATAATATTTCAATGGATGTGTGTGTGATAGGAAATCTTGGGGGTTTCTGTAATAGTAAAGGGCTGTGGAGTCCCATAGGGTTGTGAGACGTCGAGGTTTCCACATTTTCTCTAGAGAATCGGCTCACAGATGGCGGTGAGATTGTCAGCCTTACGCTCTGGCCTCCCTTTGATCCCCAGGAAGATTCCTGGTACTCATTTCTGTTAGAGACTGAGTCGACCCCAGGGCCATAGTGCGGCTGGAAGGATTAGGTAAACTGAAACAAATTCAATAACCTTACCGGGAATCGAATCCGCGACTTTCTGGCTTGTAGCGTAGTTCCTCAATCAACTACTCTACCGCGTGTCTCTCTGTATTATAGCGTGTCAGAATTTGACCATTTCCGTTCTTTTTATTACAGACCTTTCATTGTGCCTAATTCATTTTCTCACGATTTTACTCCGATACGGGAGTCACATGTGCGTGCTGGCTGCTCTCACATTTAATAAGTCTGTGTTTTGCCCATGAGTTTCGAATGGTGCTTAGAATCAGCAGCGATAATTTCCGTAACTGAAGGCATTTTAATACTTACAGAGTATGTTCTCTGTAATGTATGAACTAAATGTTCAACTACTATTCAGAATAACTCCAGATTTCAGAGGGTGAAGACAGCCCTTATAACTTTATGAAGCTTACTTTCTCTCATACAGTATGTGGCCAACTTCATGGAGCTGAGCCCTTCTTGAGAAGCCGCCAATTGTGCAGGTACCGAAGAACTTCCCAGCATTTTATGGAACCCGAAGAATTCATTACCTTATTCACAAGAGCCCTCCACTGGTTCCTATCCAGAACCAGATCCATCGAGTCCATACCACCAGTCCTATCCCTCTTAAGATCCATTTTAATATTATCCTTCCACCTACGTCTTGGTCTTCATAGGCTATATTCAAAACAAAGTTGTTCCAAGTCATTACCACCGTCATCCTTACACAAGAGAATGGTAAACTGCGGTGAAACTTTCATTATTACTGCAGCTACGTGCTATTGTAACAGATGATAAGGAAACTTCTCCTATCTCATGTGAAATGATTTGGAAAGACGCGACCTTGTCCGATTTAAAACATCGTTCCGATATTCGCTTTGAGAGACAGCAAACCTACAGACGATATCATCGTAATAATGCGACCGGTTGCTCAAAGATTTCAGGTATGGAACCAGAACAACAGAACTTGGGTTACTTAATAGCGAAGGTCTCAATAATCACGACAACAGAGGAACGACTGAAGGCGTCTCCTAGGCAACGGATACAGAAAAGGGCAGTTACATTTGAGACGCAAACCCATACTGTTCGACCAGAACCTACCTCAGGGAGAGAACTGACCAAATTAAGACAGACTACTGCAGAAGAATGCAGCCGGATAAAGAAGAGAAAACTAGAGGCCAGTGCAAGACCCAGACAACAGTGAGAGATTCATTATCCAGAAGGAGTCAAATGTGTGAGCTGTTGTAATCAAGTGAAACTGTAAGAGAGACGCCTGATCAATCCAATCAATGAAATCCAGAACTCACAATAAAATCACGTGTACCCCCTACACGTGACAAAAATTATTAAGCCTAACGAGTTCTTTTGCTTGCATAAATTATATATATATATATATATATACGTATATATATAATGTGGCTTATAGACCCGTTGTTAAGCGGTGACACTGTAAACAGCGGCCGTTGCTGTGTAACGCCCCGCAACATGCACGCGCAGAAAAATAAAACAACGGTGTTATGCAACGGATTAGGAAAACATGACTACAACAAATAAAGTATTGTTGGAAACGGTGTTTTATATTCGGTCCGTGCAAACTGGTGCTAAGGATGACAGTCAGGGCAACCCAGTTAGTTGAGGAGCGGCAGTTCAGTGGAGTTCTGTACTGGAGGCTGTGAGAGAAAGAATTACTTGCAATAGCGCGATTTTGAAGAAAAGACTTTATGTGTGATATTTAGAGTGCGTAACTCATTGAGAGTGTTATAGTTCCTGTGTTAAAATCCGTCGTCAGGAAACGGCTAGTGGAGACAGTAATAGACTGAGGACACTAGTCTGTGTGTGTCTGTGATCTGTAAAGTGTAGTCACGAATCGTGTGTTAAAGTGGTCAATAAATTCAATTCAGTTCTACATTTCAGATTTGGATATCCCCTCATATGATTATCTATCGAACTGGAAGTTACGTTGCAGTTAAGTTAGCACTGGAGAACCGCACAGCTCTGAAAGTATTCAGATCACCTGAACCGAATTGTGACGCAGCTTCAGATGTTTGCCTCATTCTTTTCCGTCCAGTGTCTTTGCCAAGAATATGCAGACCTGTGTTTTTTTATTGTTAATTTCTGGTTACAGATCACAGACCGTTTAATGTGGAGCGAGGAACTTGACCTTTAGAGCGTAGCAGTTGGATGTACTGCTCTTGAAGCCTGTCCAGTCTCTCAGTACACACAGACTAGGTCGATGCTACATTCTTCAAATTCTTCAGTCCTATTTTAGAAATAACAGCTATAGACATAATGAAAGGCGTACTGCATTGTTCCTCTATCGCTTCTTCGGCTAGGTTAGCAACCTTGGAGGCCGTCGATTTTTTTACCTTATAGTAGCGGGTTCGTTTCCCGATGCGGTTGTTGCATATTCCATTTGACCTGATCATTCCAGTCGCCTATAACCCTGGTGTCGATTCAGCCTCTAACAGAAATGGTTACCAGGAATCTTTCTGGGGGGTAAAAAGCGGCCGGCGCTTAAGACTGACAACCTTACCGCCATCTGTCTACCGCCGATTGTCTAGAGCAGGCATGTCCAACTTCAGA